TATAATTATTTAGTAAATAATATTATTTATATTATTAAAAATAATATATTTTAATAAATCTTTTAATAAAATAATATTAATAGTGATGCTTATTAAAACTAATGATTCTAATTTAATTTAAGTAATTTTAAATTTTAAATTTAATCAAATTTTACTAATTTTATTATAATTTTATTATATAATTTGACTTTATTTAAAAATTAATTTTAAATAGTATTATTAAAAATATATCTACTTTAAATATAAAATAAATAAATAATAAATTATTTATTATTTATTATTATTTTTAAAAACATAGGTAATAGCAATAAATTTTTTTTGATTTAATTTTTTATAAAAAATAATAATTAAGTTATTTTAGAATAAATTCTATATATATTATTATAATATTATTAATAAATTACTTATAATTAATTTTTAAAATTTTAAAATATCAATTATTATATATTATTATATATATTATATTAATTTAAAAATATAAATATAAAGTATCATTTTAAATAATAACTTATTATTTAAGAACTTTTATTTAAATTATCTTTGATGATTTATTTTAAATAATATTTTATATTTTAATAATATAATATTATTATATAATATCACATAAATCAATAATTATATTAGATTATAAAAATTTATTTTATCATCATATTCTTTTAAAAAAACTTAATTTATTTTTTAATATCCTTTAACCTCAATTACTAATATCTTTTTATCTTAGTAACATTTTAAGAAATTTAAGATACAGTTTTTTATTGTTTATTCTTATATAAGTAACTTTAATTATTAATTATTTTTTAATAAATTTTTAAAAATAAAATAAATTAACTTAATATTAAAAATAAAAAATAAAACTGATTATAAAAAAAGGTTTTTAAAATTTTCTTTTCAATAACTTTATAACTTACTACTTCTTTTTCATAATAAAATATTTAAAAAAACTATTAAAACTTTAATTATATCTGATGTAACTTTTAAGCAGACTTTTAAATTATATATCAAAATGATTTTTAATTATTAAAATTATATATATTCTGTTAGCTTATAGAAAATAAATCAGTCTATATAGAGAAAAAAGACAAATATCTTAAAAAAAATGGTGGTGTATATAAATATTTATTTGAAGATCATTAAGTAAAAGGATTAGAGTTAGAATTAGAGATTAGGAATTAAAGATTAAGGATTAGAGATTAGGATTAAGGATTAAGGATTAGAATTAAAAATTAAAGATTAGAAATTAATATTAACATTCAAAAAATTCTAGGATAAGGATCAAGCTAATAACTATTATAGCTATATGTTGCTATGATATCATTAAAATTACATTTGTAATTAAACTTTTCTGTAATACTTTTGTGTTGTATTAAAAAAATCGCATATAAATTATACAATAAAATATAGAAAAAAGTATAATAATCTTATTTAATAATAAGAGATTAATATAATATTAAGATAAATAAATTATTAATTACTAATAATATTAAATCATTATTAATTTTGTATATATAATTTATATTTTATTAAAAAATATATTATTTTATAAAGAGAAGATAATAATTTATTTACTATTATAAATTAAAGATTTAAAAAAGGTTTCGACACCTAATGTAAAATATAGAGATTTCGTATATCGAACAGATTTTTTATGCAATAAATCGAACTTCACTTATGATACTAAGTGCATTTTTACAATGTTAAACAACCATTAATGAATTTTTTTTTTAAAAAACTATAAGAGATGCATTCTCATATAGAAAACATGTGCTATTTATGATTATCCTAGCAATATTTCATAAATTATAATAACGATATTAACACCGATCAAAGGAACTATACGATCATAAATAAAGGAAAAAGTTAACTAATTCATTAATATAACTTAAGATTTATTTTTAACGTACATCATCATCAAATTACTTACTTCTAGTTAAAGTTCTAACCGCTGATATAAGATTTACAATCTTTGTTTTAAATGTCGGTCCATCACCAAATCCTGGATCTGGTTGACTAACCATTCCGACTTTTTTGATACATCAAAGACCAGAGATGAAAACGAAGTACGGATCGTATGTGATTATAATAACAAAAAATATGTTAGAAGAAACCTTCAAAAATTTTACCTTTATTTTTCCACATTTTCACATTGCTGAACTTTTAAAATACTTACTTCGTGCAAGAAACCGTTCTTCATTTAATATCGCCATAGCATTTATCACCAACAATATAACATAAATAATTTGTCCAAGAGATAGCACCATATTTAAATATTTCAACTGGTTGAATTGCTTTCTTTTTTGCTTTTTTTCGATTCTTTTCGTTTGAATAAAGTAGAATATTTTCAGAGGAAAGAAAATTAATCGAGATAATGTGTAACTAAATTATTGGCTAAATCTTTTTTAAGGTTTCATTCCTTATATGGTAATAAATTTCATTAAGAAAAAATTATTTGTAATACATACAAGGTATGATTTTAGAAACTTAAACAGGAAGAGCCAACCCCCCCCATATTATATATATATAATTTTTTTAGGGATATGACGATTAAAGAGGATCAAAATTTTATCATTGAGGATATAACGAATGGTTTAGAAAGATGTCCTATTTCATTAATTTGTGATGATATTAAAGAATTCGAAGAGTTACAAAATACATTTCACAAAGTAAGAAATATTTTGACCTTTTTTTTTTGCTTTTAATTTTCGAAACGTAAATTTATAAAAATTACTTTTGTTGCCGCAGTATACGATTCATTGTGTAACTTCGTATGACGCAGCTACGATTTCATATTATGATGGATGCGACTGTAAAGACAACTGCGAATCTGAAGATTGTGGTTGTAAATCGGCTCACGGTATGTTTAATTTCTTGCTTCTATTCATGATTCATTAATTAAGTATTTATCAAAAAAAAATTTTTTTTTTGTTTCCGTTTCTGAAGGATTCTTTTATACATCAAACGGATTAGATCCAACCTTCCTTCAATCCAAATCTACATCCGCAAATATTTCCTTGTACGAATGTAACTCTAATTGCACATGCACTCCCGTTAAATGTCCCAATCGATTGGTGCAATACGGAGTTTCGCTTCCCCTACAAATTTTTAAAAGCGATTCTGGATGCGGATGGGGTGTAACATCACATATATATAGAATTCGTAAAGGTGATTTCGTTTGTGAATATGCTGGTGAAATCATTAAAACTGATGAAGCAAAACTTAGATGGACCACGTCCAAGGAAAAGAATGAAGATAATTATATCCTTTGTTTAAGAGAGCATATGTACGTACGATAGCGTTTGATTTGTGTATTTTCGCGATTTACCCTTTTAAATTGTTTGTTTTTTTATATAATAGGCAAGATCGAATTCTAAGAACCGTAAGTATATAAAAAAAGTTCCACGTTTACCTTCTCATATGAATTTTACATATTCTTTCGTTTTTGTAGAATATAGATCCAATTCATATAGGTAATATAGGAAGGTTTATCAATCACTCGTGTGATCCAAACTTACAAATATTTCTCACCAGAATAAATTCCCTAATTCCAACAGCTGCTCTATTTGCAAAGAGAGATATTGAAATAGGTGAAGAATTAACTTTTGATTATTCCGGTGGTATAAATGATAATATTGAAGGAAACAATATTAGTGTAAAACGAAAGAAATGTTTATGTGGTAGTCAAGGTTGTAAAGAGTTTCTTCCATTTGATCAATCTTTATAAAATTAAAAAATAAAAATAATCTTTTACATTATTAATATTTATTACTTCTTAAAATTCATTTAAACAAGATTTTAATTGATATCAAAACTGAATTTATTAAAGTTCAAGTAAATATTAAATGATATTTTATTTATCTGTTAGATTTCACGCTTGATTCTTCATTTCCACCGTGTTGTATTAATTTAATATTGATTAAGTATACCGGAATTTAATTAATCATTAATTTTATAATCTATCTTATATTAACAAAGTTTTCTAATCATACTATTTAATAAATCATGAATTACAAGAATCACGGAATTTTGATTTTCTTGATTCGATTTTTAATATATATTTAATATATTTATAAAGTATAATTAAATTATTATATATTTTTTACTTCGTTACACACTCTCTAAGCTCTCTAGTATTATTATAAATGCTAATTTATCACATTAACTGTTAAATAGATATTTATTAATTAATTATCAGATTAAAATTTTTTTGTCAAACATACCAAAAAAAAAGGTATAAAAAAAGGTCTAATTAACCGCGTCAAGAACGCGATTAAATTTTACGATTGCCGTTTGTAAAAGAATATTATTATAAAGTTTATAGAGCATTAACTTATTTACATATCTATTATTTTTTTTACGTGTAATTTGCCTTTAATCTTTTCCTTTTTTTTCTGATTCGTTTTACTATGAGCGAGATAAATAATTCGTTATGTAATTCAAGTATTCAACAAAGACATCGAACAACTCCAACACAATTTCAATTTCTTGAATCTTATTTTCAAAATATTGATGATTTTCCTGATTCAATTATGAGAGAGAAAATCTCTCAGAAATTAAATATGCCAAACAAAAGTGTCCATATTTGGTAATATTCTCATTTAAGTTTGTTTCTAACAAATGGTTTACTAAACAAACTTTGAACGTTATCAGGTTTCAAAATCGTAGAGCGAAAAGGAAACAAGAAGAAAGAGCTCGATTAGAAAAGACAACAAGTCGTCACTCAAACACAACTATAACAACTTCTTCTTCACTCCCTTCTACGATTAAAGGCTTACCACTATTGTCGGAAACATTCTTTAACGTGCCAGCTCCTCAACAACAGCAACAACATTACTTGACAAATTTTGCATCATTAAAACTTCCTCCATTAAGAAATCTCGCGGAAGAAAGTTATGCAAGAAGACATAATTCGTCCAAAGATGTTACACTTCCACCGTTATATTTAGCAGTCCCACAAATTTTACTTGGTAGTTGTAACGTTACTGAATATCATATGAATAATTGTTGTAAATCACCCACTCAATTCATTCATTCCTCCTATAATATTCATAAAAATCAATTCTCTCAACCTCCTCCTTCTCTTGCTCAATCGAAGCAACAACAAAGAAATAAATCTAGCGGTAGTTTCGTAATTAATGATGATTCTGAACCAACAGCTACCGCACAAAACACGTCAAAATTATCTTATTTACTACCACAAATAACTCTTCTACTTTAACTTCGTTCAATCTTTCTCCAGGCGCGTTACATTTATCACGATGTTGTTTAAATCACATTCATCATCATCCTCATCACTATAATCTTTTTCAACATTCTACCTCGTCAACTTCATTAAAACAACATTTAACTAACAACTGTTGAGTTAGATTGTTATTCTTGTTTTTCTTCATCTTCTAAAGATTATTTTTTAAATAAAAAAATTTTTTTTTCAAAAGAAACTTTTTCTCTTGATATTTACAAGTTTCGAGTTTTTCATAAACTTTTTAATATGTATTATTATAATCAGGAATTAAAAAATGATATTACATAAGAAATCAGGTAAAAAAAACTTTTTTTTTTATTTTACTATCTAAAATAGAAAAGCTTTTTATTATATTTTAAATAATTAATGTTTTTTTTTTATCCAATAAAATCTTTTGAAGAAGGTATTCGCAAGTATTAGATTCTTTATTGCTTAATAAACAATTTAAATGTAATATGCTCTTTAATTTTATAATATTAAACGTAAATCTCGAATTTAAGACCTACCAAATTTAAGATTATCTATCAGTTTTTGATATAATGTTTGTACAAACTAAAATTAAGTACTTTCAAATTTAAGCATCCAATTATAAAAATTAACTTACATGGTTTACGAATATTTTGTATTTATAATACCAAAATTATATTATTAAATTTCAACATTATTATCTAATTCTTTTATATTTTCTTTTTCGTATTCAGCAATCAATTTTATAATCATATCATCTTCTAGCCCAGCTAAAAAATTTGAAATAGCAAATTTTTTGAATGAATTAAAAATAATTTGATATGAAATACCATCACACGCATGTTTGATCCATTCATATATATTTGATAATCTTGTTTTTTAAGTTACTTTTAGCAGTTAAACCAGCAATCTTTTTTTTAGATAATTTTTATTTTTCCTAATAATGATAAGTTAATTCTTTTTATAAAAAATTAATTTAAAAAATATTTTTCTGAAATTCATATTTTTCTACTTGTTGATTCTAGGCCCTGTGTTAAATTATATAAAGGAAAGACGTCCTAGTTAGTGAATCTATTTATTTATCTGCCTTGTGTAAATAAAAAACAAAAAAATAAGCGAAACATTCAAACTTACCATAATTTACATCATCCAATCAAATAAATGAGTATATTCCATAAAGTATTATAAGGTATATTGGTTTATTGCTTAGCTAGCTTTTTGAGACATGTTATCAAAATGTTAATTGATTTTCCTATCTCTATAGATATTCCAAAATAAAATGAACATATTATTCTTCTTGTTATATATCGTCATTTTGATCACTAAGAAAATCTTTGACTATCATCATGCGTATAATAGATGCAATGATCACATGAATCTCGTTATATACAAAGGCATAGCAAAAGTTTTGCGTAGTATATCAAAAAATAATGTTTGACGCAGTATCATACTAAAGATAAAAAAATTTCTTAAAAGTCAAGGCAGATTGAATATTCTAAAAATGAAATATAACAGTAAGTATGAATTTTTAATATTACATTACTTTTTTTATATCAGTTGCTAATTTTCTGATTTATGCTGTAGATTCGAAATTATTCAATCTCAGGAAACTTCTCTTACAGAACTTAGCTAAAATTGAAAATTTTTATATAACCTCTTCATCTAATAATCAATGAAGATAATCAGTGAAGTTTAACAAAATTTATTCACGTTCACATATATAGTCAATAATTCCAATATAAATCTCTCTTTACTTCTTTTAAATCAAAATTTTAAAATTTTTAACATATCTAATATTTATGAAATAATTGACAGCCTTGAATTTGGATGAGAAGAAGCTAACAAATTACAAATTTATCTAATTAAAAATCCTGAAGAAGAAAAAGGGTTACTTTTAGCCCTTCAAAGTCATCACAAAACAAAAGAAGTTCAACAAAGTCTTTTAAAAAGTTTTCTTAATGTTATGTCTAATATGTTTAGATAAGTCGTAATGATTGATCAACTTGAACATGACGATTAAACTATTAACTTGCTATATACAGTCAATTCTTAATATAGCAAACTCTTGATATAATGAATTTTTTGAACAAATATAATAAAAATACTCTTATTATAGCGAATTGATCAATCAAATCTTTTAAAATTTTTACTATAGCCTTATAGCGAAGTTGAGGTCTAGGACATAGAGTTCATTATAACAAGAGTTGACTGTAGATTCTGTTGTAAAACTTAAAAACAGTCACAAAACTGATAGGTTGAAAAGTACTGTGCATAAATAAAAGATACATTTCTTATATTTATATCTTTAATCCTATTTCCAACACAGAGAATCTGTTATATTTTTCAACTCATAAAATGTTTGAGGTAGAATCAGATTGAATTCCAGACTATTTTGAATTGCTAGGCTGGCTTAAAAAACCATTTGCTCAACAAATTGAAATTTTCAAGATGATATATGAAATTTATATTTGACTAAACCTTTCTGAGCAAAATTCGAATAAATTTTTTAGAAGTTCAGATAAGTTCTCCTTTTGAGTGATAAATGATATTATTATTATAATTGATTAACCCATAACTGACAATATCAAAGTCTTTTTTCACTCATTTTAAAATATACTTATCATAAAACCCATTAGTATAGCATACCTTAACAGAAAATATAATTAAAATTTATCTTTTAATATATCTACAAAAAAATTACGTCCTGATTTTCATATATATTAGATGGTACTTATCTCGCAAGAGGAGAAAAAAAAAGTTTAAATACTGATAACGATCTAGCAGAGAAATTAACATTAAAATTGATATAGACGTACAGATCTTATTTTTATATATTTGATTACTATACTTGTAACTTCGATATGACTTACTGTTATTTATACAATAAAGATAATTAAGTATATCAGAAAGATTTAATTACTTGCAATCTTAAAACATTACTTGAGCGTATGAATGCTTTTATAATTAGAAGAAATATTAATTGATTATTACTCCTTATTCGTAAAGACCTTGGCAATTCTTTTTACAAAAAATTTTATATAATTTATCGACCAAATTCTAAAAAAATAATTGAATTAATGCAAAATATGGTGGTGAAATGCTACTCTAGTAAAGCAGATTTTTCTGTGAAACTTGAGAAAATTTACCATATGATAGATGATAGACAAGTTCTTTACATTGATTATATAGTTCAAATGAATAAAGTAGATAATGAAAAGATTTCAAATATTATTTTTTCGCCAAAGGAAATGATACACAAACCAAGTTTAATTAAGTAACTAATAATTACTTTGTATTGTATTTTATTAGCTCTAAAGGTATTTATATTTCTTCGTTTATCTATTATTTTATTTTTTTGGATTATATATACAATTATACCTTCATATAGTCATCCTCCATATAAGCACAACCTCTGTATAATCACAATTTTCTTGCGTCGAAACCTTTAATTAAAGAAATTACCTCTATATAATCACAATAGAACTATAATCACTATCACACTAATATTTGCGTCTGATCTCCTTTTTAATAAATTTAAATTAATAAAACCTCTATATAGTTACGTCACGTAATATCATTTCGATAATCTTAAAAAATCTGTCAAATTTTTTATTTTTCAAAATGGTCAGCTTTCTTAGAAGTTACATTATCAGCCCTTTATTTTTAGAAACGCTTGTTCTTGAGGTAAATTTTGAGTTTATTTTATTATTTTTTTTTTCTTAAATTTCAGAAATGATTTGTTAAATATTTTATTAGATTTATTTATTATGCGTTGTTTTTAAACTTTCTACATTTTTAGGAATTTGGTTCTCCCATCAATTTAAAAATGTGGTGAGAGATATTTGACAATAGAATTAACTTTCTTTTATTTTTAAGATAAGTGTTATATTAGGAAAGATTTTATTAGATTTTTTTTTTCACTTTTTTTTAGCTCTTTTTTAAATCTTTAGAAATGGAATCAGCTTCCTCTTATTAACTTGGATTTTTGGAATAAGCATTATGTTAGAAAAGGTTTTATTAGAGGTTTTTTTAACTTTTTTTTAAAATTTTTAGGAATAGAATCGGCTTTCTTAGATTTTTAAGATAAGTGTTATATTGAAAAAGGTTTTATTAGATTTTCTATATTTTTTTAATTTCTTTTCAAATTTTTAGGAATGAAATCAACTCTCTCTTATTAATTTGGATTTTTGAAATAAGTATTATGTTAGAGAAAACTTTATGGGGCTTCTATTTTTTTTCGATTTTTAAGATAGTGTAATAATAATTTTTAATATATATATATAATGATATCATTTGTATAACAAAGTATTAATCAAAATACATTTTTATTTGTTTTGCAAAGATTTTAGTACAACTTCTAAAAAAAAAAATTTTTTTAAAAAAAGACCCGAACTTTTATTTTTTTTTTAAAAAAAAAATTCTTTTATTAGTATTCACAACAATGTAGTATTTAGTTAATTTTTGATTACTATACAATAAATTAAAAATGATCGATAAACACGTTCCTTTTTTTGTACATTTAAAACCTTATCTTTTTCATGTTCTTACCCTCTTACATGTTCAAAATTTTCTTTTTTTTTGTTTTCCTAAAATGCCGTCTGCTCCAAATGCAAAAAAATTGCGTTCTGCAATAAGTGATAATATGAAATGACAAATATGTGTGTATGCTACAAAAACTGAGAATAAAAATAAAATACAACAACAAATTGCCAGCTATTTCAATGAACAAAATGAAAACTTAGATATCGATAGATCAACAATTTCCAAAATTATTAAAAAAAAAAAAAAATGGCTTGCAATTCTTCCATCACAAAATAATATAAAAACTTTTCGTCATAAAAAAGTTAAATATTCACAAATTGAAGAAGCATTAAAATTATGGGTAAAAAATGCAAATGCTAATAATTTTGTGATTTCAGAAATGATAATTAAAGAAAAGGTTCTTTTTTTTGCATAACAATTTAATATTCTGCATGAAAATATATCTTTTTCAAATAGTTGAATACAAAATTCAAAAGGTACAATAATATTCGTAAATATTGCTTATATAGTGAAGCAAATAGTGCATCATTAGAAACTCTTTCTGAAGAAAGAAATAAATTGTGAGAAGTTTTAAAAGATTATCCACTTAAAAATATATTTAATGCAGATGAAACAGGGCTTTTCTTTTGTATAACACCTAATCAAACTCTGGTATCTACTCTTACTCCAGGTACAAAACGAGTAAGTAAATAATAAATTATTTTTATTTTTTATAAGAAAAAAATAATAATATTAAGTTTTTTTTTTAGGATAAATTCTGTATTACTATTCTTTTAGCTACAAATGCTACTGGTACAGAAAAACTTAAATCTTTTGTAATTGGTTCTTTAAAGAATCCTAGATGTCTTTATTGAATTAATCATAACATATTTCTATGTATGTATTATGCTAATCTAAAAGCATAGATGCGAAGTGATATTTTTGAAGAATAGCTTAAATCTATTAATAATAGATTTAGAGTAGAAAATCGAAAAATTTTATTACTTATAGATAATGCATTATCTCATTTTAATCCTGATGAAAATGAACAAGATAATTTAGTTTTATCACATATTAGGATAAAATTTCTTTCACCTAATACAATAGCTCATTTACAATCATAGACACAGGAATTATTAATAGTTTTAAAGCTATTTATAAATAACATTATATTTAGCATATCATTTATCAATTTGATACAAATGTAGATTTGAATAAGTTAAGTATTTAAATTAATTTTATTTTATTTTATATATATATAATTCTTATAAATTTAATATTATATAGGAATAAAATTAATATTAAAGAAGCTATGGAGTATGTAACATAAGCTTAAAATTTAGTAAAAGTAGAAACTATTGTTAATTATTAGTGTAAAATAGATATTTTACTGATAGTTAATAATGATGATATACAACAAGCTTTAATAGCAGAAGAAATATCAAATCAAGAAAATCAACAAGCTATTGAAGCTCTTTTGAAAACTAATATGGATGAATCTTTAAAAATTGATATTAATCAATATTTAGAGATTATTGATTTAATAACTCCAATGAAAGTACCATTAACAGATGCTGAAATTGTACGACTTTTTTTGAAAGAGCATGATAAAATTAAATTGAATGATAAAATTAATCAAAAACATCATGTAATATCAATAAACGAAGCTTTTAATAGTCTTAAAATATATTACAATATTTAGAAGAACAAGAAAATGAGGAGATTGATATAAAAGATATACAAAATTTTAAAAAACATATGAAAATTATGCAACGAAAAATTTTTGAAAGCAAAACACAAAAAGATATTACTAGTTTTTTTTAGTTAATAATATTTTTAATAATTTTTTTTCTACTTTACAAATATAATATAGCTTTTAATTTACATTATAATAAAATAAATACACTTAATATTACTATTAAAATAATTTTATAATATACTTCTATTTAATCACAATGTTATAAAATTACTTACAGTGTGACTATATAAAGGGATTTAACATATAGTCACACTTCTATATAAGTATACATTTTATATGCATCTAACTGTGTGACTATATGGAGATACGACTGTATATATCTAGGAAGTATAAGTCTTTTTTCATTATTTTATATAATATTTCTGAAGAAGATTTATCCCATACTATATCCAGGTACTTTTCTAGGAAGGATAAATTTTCTTCTATTATTTTATATAATATTTCTGAAAAAGACTTATAAATACATATATATCACATATGCTCGAATATATACTATTGAGATATAGCCTTTATATTACACCTAGATATATACTAGTGTTAGAGTAGTTTTCTTTCATAATTTTATATAATATTTCTAAAGAAGACTATCCTAAATATCACTTATTAGGAATACCGTATCCTTCTGATTTTAAGCACCACTTTTTTGAGGGAAAACTTTCACTAAAGTTTGTGATAGTGCTTAAATTCAGAAGTTTTTTTTAATTTTTTTTTTGTGCTTCGAAAAAATTTTGTATTATATAAATTTATATAAATTCAATTTTACCCTATTTTACGTACATTTTTTTTACACACAATATTAAAAATTCAAAGGTCATCATATTCTGCTAGTGAAAAGCTTGAGATTTTGCAATATGCAAAAAATCATGGTCAAAGAGCAGCTACAAGTCATTTTTCTATTGATCATTCAATGATTTTACATTGGAAAAAATAGGGAGATAAACTCAAGTCAGCAAAAGAAAAAAATTGACGTATTGGCGCAGGAAGAAAAGCACAATATCCTGAAGCTAAAACTAGTTTAAAAACATGGCTTATAAAATTTCGAAAAGATAGTATTGCAGTGACTTCTAAAATGGTTAAAATTTATATAAAAGAAATTTTAATAAAAGAGTTTGCTCATGTTTATCCAAATAGTGAAAATTTTCTTGCTTCAGAACGTTAGTTTTATGGTTTTCTTAAAAGGAATGGATTTTCTTTGTAACGTAAAACAAAAATCAGCCAAAAACTTCCTGCTCATCTTAATGACAAACTTTTGGAGTTTCAGCGGTTTATTATTAAAAAACAAAAATAATTTGAATATGAACTTTGTGAAATTAGAAACATGGATGAAACTCCTGTTTATTTTGATATGGTTGAAAACTTAACTATAGAAATTGTGATGCTAAAACTGTGCAAATTCAAACAATTGAGAATGAAAAAAATCAGTTTACATGTGTTCTTACAGTTCTTGCATATGGTACAAAATTACCACCAATTGTTATTTTTAAAGGTAAGCAAATATCAAAGAATTTACCTTCTAGAATTATTGTATTGATACACCCAAAAGGATGGATGAATGAATCTGGAATGAAAACCTGGTTTAATAAGGTTTGAAGAAAAAGGTTAGGAGAAAATAGAATCAATAAACAAAGATCTCTTCTTGTTATAGATAGTTTTGAAGGTCATAAGACAGATGCTATAAAAAAAATTGCATTCGATAAAAATACTAATTTAGCAATCATTCCTGGTGGTCTCACTTCTATTGTTCAACCGCTTGATGTTTGTCTTAATAAGCCATTTAAAGATAGACTTCATGAAAAGTGGAACATTTGGATGAGTTCAGGTCAATTTTCTTATACTAAATGTGGGAATTTAAGAAAGCCTGAATATAATATTATTTGCAAATGGATACTTGAGGCATGGGCGAAAATTCCAAAGGAAATGATTGTAAAGTCATTTAAAAAATGCGGTATTAGTAACGGATCAGAAGACGATTTGTTTGGGCAAGATGAAAAAGAGGAGGAAATTGATGAAAATGAAAGAGAAGTTATAGATATAGATAGTGATTCAGCTGATGAATTAGATGAATTAGAAGATGATGATGAATTGTAAAATAAAATTTTATTTGAAATAAAATATGAAATATAATAAAATTTTTTTAAATTTGGGTGGTGCTTATTTTTGTTTTTCAAGTTTTTGTGCCAAAAGTTGTGGTGGTGCTTAAAATCAGAAGGATACGGTAATAATAAAAATTTTAAATTATTATAATTATAATCAATCTTTTTAAATATATATTATTTATAAATATTTGTTTTATTTAAATACATAAATTATTTTAAATTTAAGCTTAAATCTTAAATATTAAAAATATTCTTTATTTTTATATATAAGAAATTTTTTAATCATTTTATATAATAAATATAGATGAGAGATGAAATCCTTAATAACAGTCGAAACTTAAACAAAACCATATTAAAATCATAATAAGGGATATGACAAAATCTATTCGATATGATGAAAGCTGAAACTGTCGAAACTATATTAAAAACATAAAAAAGGGTATGACGAAATTATTTTGAGAAGGTTTCGGCAGGCATCTATAATAATAAATATATTATTTAAATGTATTTTATATAATGATTGCTAATAAAATAATAGAATCTAATATTAATATTAGATTATTTAAAGATAATTAATATTAAATAAATTCTTTAATTATTAAATTATTTAAAATAAGTTTTATAAAAAAATATTAATATTAATTATATAAAATACTTTACTGTTAATTAATTTTGATGATGTTAAACTTAATCACATCAATTTGATATTTATTATAAATTATTAATAAAATAATTATAACTATTAAAATATAATTTAATTAGTAATTCATCATTTTGTGATAAAGTAGAATTATATAAATAGATAAATACTTTAATTATTTAGGGTCTTACTTACTATTAAAAAAAAATATATATAATCTAATATGTATATATTTAAAGATTGCTATTTAGTATATAATCTATTAATATTTAAGTTATGAAATTAAATAGTTTAATTAAATTTCATTTTAGATTTAACTGCTAAATTTGAATAAAAAGATCATTTTAATTATAAAGATTAATATGTTTTTATTTTTATTATACTTTATCAGTATTATTATAATCTATATCTATTATTAGAAAGATTCAATAATAAAATAATATTATAAGATTATGTTTTGAAAGTTACTATAAACTTATTTAAAACTTTATAAAGCGATGACTATAATATTTATCTAAAACTTAAATTTGAATTCTAACTCAAATAAGATTAAAATTAATATTATAGTAATTTTTTATATTACTAATTAATAATTACTATTTATTTAACTTAAAAATTTTTTTGATAGTTTTCTTTCTTTCTATTACAAAATACTTATATATTAATATATATTAGAAGTTGGTTAATTAATTTATCAATTAATATTAATTATATCTAAATATTAAGTTTAATAAAGATATAAAATATAAAATTAAAGATCAATAAAAATTGATTTTTATTAATAAATCTATAATAAATACTATTTTATATTATCAAATAGTAAAATTTTTAACTTATAAAAAGTAATTTATTAGTAATTAGTAAGTTAAATTATTAGTAATAATAAATTGTATTATATAATACAATATTAATCTGATTAAAGTAAAGGTTAGATTTGATTTTTAAATAAATTTAATATTATGAATACAAAGTTATCTGTATTATAGTTATATAAAATATTACAATAATAAAATTTGACTAAATTTTAAAACTCAGATCTAATTTTATTAGAATTTAATAGATTAAAATTTCATAATTAGACAAAATAAATAATTGAATAAGAATAGTAAATATTATAATTAAAACAAAATTATATATTAGTATATTAAGTTAAGTTTAATTTAATGTTAAACTTGACTTTTAAATAAATTATATATCAGATGATAATTTTTAAAGTAATTAATAAGATTATGCTAAAAACTTTATTTAAATAATAATAGGTAAAATAAAATCTAAGATATATTATTTGAGATGATTATGCAATTAGTTTATATAAATTTTACTTATATTTTATTATCAAAATCAACCACTTCTAAAAAAATAAATACAATAAGCTACTATATTTACTATTATATGATGATTAATTATCAATATAAATTATTATATATTATATTAATCAAACAATTTAATATAATTTTTAGTAAATTTTTATGATAATAATTTTTATAATTTGATTATAAATCAAATATTTATTAATACTTATTTATATATCTCTCTCCCCTCCTCTATTTCTCTGTTTTATTATTTTTAAAAATATTTTTTAGTAGAATAAACCTTAATCTGTTCAAGTCAGAAATGAAATTGTACTTTGTTTAAAATTAATATTTGTAATGAATTTTTTTTTATTTTCATTTTTTCATTTATTTGATAAATAAATTAATAATAAGAAATAAATTTATAATACATAAATAAATTGAATTTTATTTAAGAATTTATTTAAAATATTTTGATTTTATAAATTAATTTTTTTTTTTTTTCAAATCCAAATATTAAAGAAAAAAGGGTATTAATTTACATTATTATAGAAAATATCATATTAAACATAAATAACTATTGTAAATATTAACGATTAATCAAATAATATAAATTCTAATTGGCTACTATATATATGTTTCAAACAGCCACGAGTCTTAACCATTTGGCCATTCGGCTGCAACATAAGCCAAACTTGGTCAAACAGTTAAATGTCAACCCTTTCCTTCAACCAAAACACATGTATTTGTTTTTACTTAAACCAGTTTGGGAATCTGGAGATTTACCAACGTTGATTTCTGTTTTAGTAAATATTTTTAATGAGTAACCATTTTGACAAATGACGAAAGGGGAATAGAATAAAGTAAATAATAATAATAAAAATATATTTAGTGTATTATATTCTTCCTTGAACAGGAAATCCCAAAAAAAATCACTTACCTCAATAAGAAAATACAGTAATTAAAGTTTTTAACTCGCCATGCAAATTTTTTTATTTTATTTTATTTCGTTTTGGCTTTATACAACTACTTGGATTTTTATTTGTTTAATTTAAAAAAATGAAGCTTGAAAATGAAAGAAAGTTTTATTAATTAATGCAACATTTAATTTAATTTTCTATTGACGTTCGGAAACATCAAAACATTATACAAACAACATGATAAAAAAAGAAATTTCGATTTTACCGAGGTTCCTCGATTTTTCGTCATTCGCCATGAATTTGGTTGTAAAATAAACATTCTTACATCTTACTTCCCAAACTGTCCTAATTAAATGAAAAAACGTGCTTCAGGTACAGTAATTCATGATTTCGAAACCTTCCAGTACATGAAACGTGTACATGTAAACAATGATTTATAATTCATGCAATTTTAAGATTTATAAATAGTAAATAAAGTTGATTTTTATGACAATGATTACAAATTTTTTTTTTTAAAAAGATCGAGACCCTTTTTAATTTTTTATTTTATTTATTTTTAAAAAAGAAGAAAATAGTATAAGATGATAATAATAACGATAAAAAAAAAAGATCAAATTTTCTCTATTTATAAAATCAAAGTAGTGCATATCTATCAAATTCCTTAATGAAATGATATCACTCAAATAAATTGTTCTATTTTTATTTTTTAAATAAAATGATCAAATAACCGAAAATTAAATCATGTGCTTAATATAGAATTTAATATATATAAATAAACAAGTGTGTTTATATATATATTTCGTAATTCTTAAATTTTTTTTTCGGGATTAGCCGTGCTCAAAAATCGTTCAACGTTTCCAAAAACAAAAACACAAACATAATTCTAGACCAAATATATTCCCCGATCTAACCCCGTAATTATTTATGTTAATATGTTACCGTGATACCATCAAAAATCTAGGATGATGAATATTTGTAAAAACTTTTTTAATCATTAAAAAAAACTTAAATGACCTTAAACCAAAAATGTTAATTATTCATTAACCCTGCCTCAAATAATTAAAACAACGAAACACATCATTCATCATCGATAAAAGGGAAATTTCCAAAATAGGTTTAGAATTTTAATTAAAATCAAGTTAGTTGCAAAAACGGTTTCTTTTTTCCCCCTCAAAATTGGTTAATTGTAAAATGAAAAAAAAAAAATAAATAAATGTTTTAGGTTTCACAATAATATAATGGAATATTATATCAAGTTTTAATTTTTATGTTACGTTATATTTACGGATTTACCGGATTAAATATGCGACACACACATCAGATATGCACCAACATTCTCTTTTATGTATTAAAATTATTTTTAGTTTCATTTCGAGATTGTTCCCTTGTTGAAAGGATTGTAAATTTGTTTTTCCAAAATAAATCATTATATCATAACTTTCTAAAAAAAGACGGATCTAGTATCGAGCTTATTATACACAACCAAGTTTGTATTCATTCAAAATGCTTCTTGGAACTTTCTTCATGCCGTGAAAACCGAAAACTCCTTGAATTTCAGAATTAATTAAATGCATGAATAAAGAGCAAATTCAACAAACAAGTACGATGGTATCGTTTAAGCAAATGATCGAACCTATAAAAT